GAGTGGATGCTTTGGCTGACCTTAATCCCTTTAGGACAGGAGAATAAAAGGTTACACCTCCAAATCAGGAAATCCACCGTTCCCCCGGGTCTCGAAAAGACTGGCTAAATCGGCTGGGTCTGGGGGAGGGGGGCCTGTCTTGGCCCCCGCGTGGATCTGGGCACAAGAAGATCCTCTGCATTCACAGCTGCTGTTTGCCCGAGGGCAGGCTGGGAGAGGTGCCCCAGCACAGCATGGCAGCAGAACGAGGTGCTCTTCATCCTCATCAGGCAGCAAAACCCACAGGGGTTCATAGAGCCCAAGGAGTTTACCTGGTAAATCCTGTTTGCTGAACTGGTTGCCACCAGTGAGAGGGCTCCGTCTGCTGCTGCTTCCTTCTCCTTCTTCGAGTCCTGAGCTCTGTTATGTGTTCCTAGAAAACAAAAATGTGTCCAGCTCTCCCTTACTCAGGTCCTGGGAGTATGCTAACAAACCCCCTCACTGTGAAGAGCCACATACAACCCATTCCTCTGACCAAGGCACCGGGCTGGGGTGACAGTGAAAGAAAACCTCAGGATACTTGCACAGGAATTCCTCCTGTCGCCGCCAGACCGAGGCAGGAGGCTGCCAGCTCAGCCTCCCGTGGCAGCTCTGGAGTTTAGAGGTGATGCACAAACTCACCCTGGATTTGGTGACCTCGGTGGCTTATTCTCAGCACAGACACTTTGGCCAGGTCTTGTTTTTGTCAGTCCAATGCCAACCTCTTAGTTTTTCTTTAATTGATATGTTTCTCTTCTCAAGGAGGAAATCTCATCAGGAATTTAAGTCATGTCTGTTGCTGCTGTTTGTATTCTAAGTGGCTGAAAATATTCCTTCTCTCCCCAAGAACTTGTCTAGCTGGAAAACTGGTTGACATCACATTCCAAACAAACTGTTCTGCTGCAGATGACCCGTTCTCTCTGCTACGAAATGACTTTGCATTGATTCTTACACAAATTCAGTTGTATTTCAAACTAGAGAGTCTCGATGTGGGAAGTTATTCTCAAGTCACTGTCACGACTGCTTCCTCTCTGCAGGCACAGCTGGGGTAGCTTAATTCTTGTTGGAGCAGACTGGGGAGTCTCTGCAGGGGAGCAGAGCTCAGTCCTCTGCCTCTGGGGAGCTTCTGCTGTCAGAGTAGGTTTTATAATGGGAACTTACAGCTCCTCATGTACCCTCGGGCTCACACATCACCGGTGGGGAGAGTAAATCACTGAGAGGGCTAAAAATAGCCCCGAACCTTCCGCGGACAGGAAGGTTCTGTTGTGTGCAGAAAGGGAAGCGTCTGACGCAACGATCCCGTCTCCCAGCAGCCGACAGGGGCGATACCAGCAGTGCCTCGGCTTGTCTTTGGGTGGCTCTCAGGATTCCTGTCCTGAAACACGTCCCGGACGCTCAGCTTAGTGTCCCGCGGGGCTTTTCCTGGGGCGGTGCCGGGCTGGATGTCCCTGCCGCCAGCAGGCAGCGAAAGTGCTGTCACCAGCGCAGGCTGTCAGTAATTATGTTAACCTTGACGTGGCAGCCTAGTACAAAGGGGCTCACCAACAGCCCATCCCACCCGAGGGTGCAGGTGGGCTCAGCAGTGCCTGAGAACGAGGACTGAGGCTGCACCAGCCTGTCCCATGCAGTGTTCACGCCTTGTTGCTGGGGGTTTCATGGCCCCACGGAGGGAACGGACTTGGCCTCCGTCTCTGTGACTCATAACCTTTGCTCCTAAGGTTTTTCTGGCATCCTTGAAACACCAGGTAGCCAGACTAAGGAGAAGCCAAGCTAGGACATGGTGAAGCTTTGTAGTCTGGGCAGGGCTGGTAGCCAACGTGCCTGAAGTGTTATCCATTACCTATGAGGTGATGCCTCCTCTGAAAGACACATCAAGCCGTGTGCACCTCCCCTGCACTCACCTCCAGGGTTACTCCCCACCTGGCTCTGATGAGAGTGGGGGAGTAGTGCTGAGAGGGGCCAGACCAGCAAGGGGAGAGCACCCCGTGCTCCAGGTTACGAACTAGTCCCTTAGAGCTGTTCTCACATCCACTGACTGCTCCCAGCAGTGACAGGAGATTTCTCTGCCAAAAAGGGATTTGCTGTTACCTGGAAATCCAAGGTGAGGCTCCAGAAGTGTTCCCCAAAAGGCAAAGCTACTCTGGAGCACTGTGGGTCCTGTGCCTGCCTCCATCACACATCCATTTCCACCTGGCATAGGGATGCCATCCCTCGTCACACATGGCCAGAGGCTTCTGGAAAGGGCCTGAGCCTGCAGGACACCCATTCTCTGGCTTCCAGAGGAAGCCCAAGGAGCTTGGATGGGTTAATGCCCTGAGCTCCTTGGACAACCCATTCACTGGTTTCTTCCCTCTCCAGCCCCAGCCTGGGCTGCTGTGCCCCAGCTCTGCCCCGCTCACTGCTTGTCACACGTGGTGCGACGTGCGCAGCCCACAAAGGGAAAAACCCCAAGCGACAAACCCCAGTGCAGGGGGCGGAGGTGACGCCGGAGAGCGGAACTGAGAGCCTGCACAGCCTGGACTGCCAGCTCACCATCCTGCGGGCTCTGCCCCGGCCCCTGGCCACCAGGACCCATGCCCAGGCAGGATGGAGGATTTGGGTAAGCTGGGCTCCTCCAGAGCTTGTCCCGTACCCAGGCTTTACATGGGGTCATGCCGTTGGCACCTTGGGAGAGCCTTATCCTTCCTCTACCTCAGGGCCAGGTGGGGATGCTGCAGAGGGGCAGCAATGGGACCACACTCCCTGCCGTGCCTCCTCCGTCTCAGGGGTCCAACAGGGCCCGACGAGCAAAAGCTTGGCCAAAAATGGAGTGACTTTTAGAGCAGGAAATGGGCTGTGGAAAAAGCTGCACACAACGGGCCGAGCACCCGAGTGTGCAGCACAACATCAGGGGGTGCTGGGAGCCATCTCTGGCCTGGGGTGGGGGAGCCAGGGCCAGGAAAGCAGCTGCACAGTGTTTTCTGACACGAGGGTTGCCAAGGTGGCGAGGCAAAAGTGGGAAGAGAATGTACTGGGGGAAGCAACACTCAGGGTGCGCAGAATGCACTGAGGTTGAGCTCTTCCTTGCCAAATCTCATGCGGGGGGTTAAGGGCTGGTGCGTGTTTCTTCCCAGGCCAGGCACGGTGTGTGGGGGCAGAACCCCCATTGCCAGCAGTGCCCCAGCTATGCAGTGTGGCAGGCACACCCTGCACTGGGAATGGGAATCAGGGTGAGGATGCTCAGGGCCACCACAGAACCTGCTGTGACGCTTCTTTTGCTCCTGAGATTTCAAGAGAAGTACAAGACAGCTCAGGGGGTGGCAGCAGGGCAGGCAGCCAGTGGTAGTGGTGCCTGACCTGGGTCTCTCCTGGTGCAGATGCTTTGCTGGCAGAACTGGAGCAGAGTTCCTGTGTGCCCTTCAAGGACTGTGCAGTGCAGGGACAGAGCTCCTGCAAGGATCCCTCCACAGCTGGGTGCCTGGAGCCCTATGGCTATGAGCTGCCAGCTTCAGCGGCCCTGAAGGTAACACCGTAGCACAGACAGCCTTTCAGCTCGTGATGGGGTGGTAGAGCCAGACAAGCAGTAGAGACTGCCAGGAGAGCATCCTGCAGGCTCAGCCACAAGGGTTTGTCCTTGTCCTTCCAGGTGCAGCAGCCTCCTCGGGCTCAGCCTCCGAGAGAGAGTTTGGAGACAGTATACAGGTAAAAGGGGCCATGGAAGGACAAAGCCATCTGGGGCTGCCCATTCATTGCTGGGATGTGCCCTCTGGGGTCACCTGCATGTCCAGCTGAACAACCAGGTCCTTCTGTGAGCTGGGGCAGGTTGTATCCTACATCCCTGCAGCTCTGCTGGGATCAGGGCTGGGCTGCCAGCAGTCCACTCTGTTCCCTGCAGTGATCTGTGGGAAAGGTCTGTGCTGGCAGGGGTGAAGGGGATTTGGTGCTGGCCTCGGGGTGGAAACCACAGCACCCTCCTCTCTCTGCCATGTGCAGCAGCCCCTCGCC